TATGGCGTTCACCCCACCACGCAAAGCATAACTTGCTTACGGTGACGGATTGGGGAAGTTTTGGGAAGTCTTCATGGGCGCATACCAAGGTGGAGTGACAGAGGCTGGATGGATTGTCGATCACAAGCCAGCAAGTCGAACTCATGCACACTATCCACTTAATTTATTTACATGGCATCTGATCCTATGTGGATAGTAGCGCCACAGTGACTACGAGATGTTATTTCCCTCGCCTGGTATGCAGGAGGTCGTAGGTTCGGTCCCGACTATAACGCCTGAAATATTTGGAGTTTGCATGTTCTCCCCGTGGTTGCTTGGATTTTTCTCTGGGTCCTCCGGGTTTCCCTTCCACATTTAGAAACATGCGTTTAAATGATTTTGCTGCTATAAATTTCCACGTGATAAGCCACTTCGTTGAGTTATCACTTGTGGCCAGGTCGCTTCTGAGAAGAAGAGTAGACTTTACCTGATAAATACGATGACTTTTTTCCATCTCTTAATTTTGCATGAAATTAAACAATTTCACAGCTTTTGTTTCTTATTGAGGTGGAAATAAGCAGCCAGCATGTGTGTCAGGAGGGGGGCAGAGATAGCGCTGCCTTGGCACACGATTGTCAGAATGAAATGAATAAGTAGCTGCAGGGTTTGCGGAGGTGCTGAATGTAGCGTGTGGCCTGTTAGCCTCGGGCTGAACTATTAATCGATTTCAAATCGAAATCGCAATTTGAAACAATGCGATTAGTAAATCGTAAAGGCTGCGAGTTTTTGCGGTTTGAAAAGTCCTATTACTTTCTTATTGGAATTGTTAATTTTTTTATTATTATAACTTTATTTGTTTAACCTAACAATTGTTCTATGTTTGATTGTTCTATTTCAGTTAAAACATTTTAATAAATACATGTTGGAAGCAATTCATATTTTAAGTTCTCATCCTTGCATTATAATATTTCGAGCAGTTCACATTTTGATGGTATCATGTGGTAATGCTCCATCACATGTTTTAAATCTATTACACAGTGAATATTGAACTGAAGCTTCACTTAAAAAAAGGTAATCACAAATCAAATCGCAATCGCAATATTTGTCAGAAAATCGCAATTAGATATTTTCCCCAAATTGTTCAGCCCGATGTCAGCCCGACGTCAGCCCACCAGATTCAAGTGTAGTTCCAGTCGCAGCATCTTCCTACAGAGCTACTACCCACAGAACATGACGGCGCCACTGAGCTCACGAGCAACGCGGGATCTGTTTCACCAACGCCACCGAGGAAGCTCAGCGTTTGAGTCTTTCAAGATAAATGTTTCCCTGTACTGTATAGGATGTGGGATGAAATATTAGTTCCTTTCAGTAATTAAACAAATCAATCCTTTACCTCACAGTTATTTCAAATGTTAACAACAATGGCTCTCTGCACAAACATGCATTGGGGGCAGTGATCGAAGCTCCATGAATTCCATACTCCTGTGCAGCGTCTTCAATTGACGTCGATGATGACGACGACGAGGCCGTGTAGGAGAAAGAGCACCATTGTCTAGTTTGACGTTGAGTTTTGATGTTGGGTCAAGAGCTTCGGGAGATGCGTAGCGAATTTGTGAAATGTCTCCGGGGAACGAGTGACAGTGGGCAGGCGTTTGGTACCCCAGTCGTTCCGTTGTGTAAAGTTGTTCACCGCGTTCAACCCGTGGAGTCTCCTCCTCGAGTCTCTGCATGGGGGTATCCGCTGCGTCTACGATATGCAAATTGTAACTGTTGGTTTACAAAGTTACCCGGGTGTTGGGCTGCTGGACCCTGACCATGAATGTAACTTGCAACTTTGGTGGGTATCTTAGACAGGCTGGAGTCTCTACACGAGCCACCAATCCCACCTTCAGGGCATATTATCCAAAACAACAATGACAACCACGACTCGTGTAACCTGTAAACTAAAGTAACCCGGCCTCAGAGGGCCTTCATCGATTCACCCAAGCTGATAAAGCGGCGTGGCCTCGGAGAAAGCTGACAGGTATTTTTAGAGGCAGCGGAGGCCGTTTGTGTCACACTGTGTCCTGGCGCACCTTCTTTCCCACGCTGCTATCCTGTGGACACAGCTTTTTTTTTCTAAACTCACCACTGCCATGAAGTTAATATCCGAAAGTGTCCCGGCCACTCTCATAATCCTTCGCTGCTTGCAACGCGGAGAGGATTTTTTTTCTCAACAGCAAAAGGGAAATGGAGAAAGATGACCACATGCAACATTCTTGCTATTTTGCCTTAAGGAGGCCAAATGCCCATTAGGTTGTTCGCCAATTTGTACTCGGATTATATTTAATGAGCTTCATGGGCTATCCAGCCATCATGTGGTGCTCCTCATCTGGCCGAATAAAAAACCCCCAAACCACGAAGTGGCGTATTCGTGTTGCCCACGTTGGAAGTCATGACGACACCTTGCCCGACTGTCGTCGGTGAGTCTCATCCCGTCTCACCTCGCATCGACGCTGACGCGGCGTGAAGCGCGAGGCTGCCTCCTCCGCGTGCCCTCTCTTGGCAGGAACATGACTCTTTGAGTTTATTTGATTTTATAACACGACTATTTTACACGGGAGATCCGTGGTGCCGCGTGAGCACAGCAGCAACCAAAATTAAAGACAAAAACATCAAGAATGCGGAGAACGAGTGCAGGCTCCTTCAGCAATATTTCACAACTAACAAACGAGGTGTTTGACGGTCGTAAATTCGACACGCGAATCTAAAAGAACACCGTGCAAATGTCGCGTGACAGCAAGACGCGCCAGAAAAAAGTGAGGTACAGATGCAAGTAAGCTTTTATTTCTTAGTCTGACAGTGACATGAACACACGCAAATTGAAAAAGAAAAACAGTGCAAACATATGGGAGCAAGAGGCGTGAGAATAAAGTTAGTTGCAAGAAAGCTCTGTGTGTTTTGGTTGAATGGGGGAAATAAAGAGGGGGGGGGGTGGTGTAGGGAGGGAACCAAGGTGTGTAGATGAGCGGTTAGGAGGTTTCAGAAATGTGGAGCAGCATTGCGGAAATAGTTATAATTTTTTTCCCAAAGTTGTAAAAAAAATGGAATGTTTAGTAGAAATAAGGAGGCACTTCTGCGGCTACGGGAAGGGTTTAGAGGAACAAAGTCGTCATTTCGGTGACCTAGAAAACGCCGAAATGTAACACGTAAAGTCCTCGACAAGTCACATTGAAGCGTGCACGAGTCGAGGAGGCCGGGCCATGGGTGTTGCTGCGGGGTGAGTGAGCAGTCACGCTCGACTACACCCTCAGCCACGTGAACCTGTGTCGACTCACAGCCACGTGAACCTGTGTCGACTCACAGCCACGTGAACCTGTGTCGACTCACAGCCGCGTGAACCTGTGTCGACTCACAGCCGCGTGAACCTGTGTCGACTCACAGCCACGTGTGCCCTCTGATAACCCCGACCTGCCCCCCTGATCCATGCGTTCTCTCAGTGCGGAGCCGTGCATTCTCACTAGCTTGCACACAGCCACACAACTGTGTATTCTCACCAGCTTGCAGACAGCCATACAACTGTGTATTCTCACTAGCTTGCAGACAGCCACACAACTGTGTATTCTCACCAGCTTGCACACAGCTACACAACTGTGTATTCTCACCAGCTTGCACACAGCTACACAACTGTGTATTCTCACTAGCTTGCACACAGCTACACAACTGTGTATTCTCACCAGCTTGCACACAGCTACACAACTGTGTATTCTCACTAGCTTGCACACAGCTACACAACTGTGTATTCTCACTAGCTTGCACACAGCCACACAACTGTGTATTCTCACCAGCTTGCACACAGCTACACAACTGTGTATTCTCACCAGCTTGCACACAGCTACACAACTGTGTATTCTCACTAGCTTGCACACAGCTACACAACTGTGTATTCTCACCAGCTTGCACACAGCTACACAACTGTGTATTCTCACCAGCTTGCACACAGCTACACAACTGTGTATTCTCACTAGCTTGCACACAGCTACACAACTGTGTATTCTCACCAGCTTGCACACAGCTACACAACTGTGTATTCTCACTAGCTTGCACACAGCTCCACAACGGTGTATTCTCACTAGCTTACACGCAGGTCTACAGCTGTGTATTCTCACTAGCTTGCACACAGCTACACAACGGTGTATTCTCACTAGCTTACACACAGGTCTACAGCTGTGTATTCTCACTAGCTTGCACACAGCTATACAGCTGCGATTTGTCACACAGCTTGCATTGGTCACTATTGGCCATTTCATTCCCCCGTGCAAAAATCCCACCTCGGGGTACCAACCTGTGATTTCATCTAAAAGAGTTTTGCTGCCCACTACTCACACTTGTTTAAGTGTTTTGTATTTTTCAGGCTTTATTTGCCGTCCAAAATGTATATATGCTCACCTCCACTTACTGAAGTCATACATTTGTAGATATTGATTTAACTTTCACAAAACGATTGCTACATATTGAACTCTGTAATATTTTAGTTTTCCCACTGTGCGCTTGCAATGTTTGTGCCACGTTTTTACTTGCGAGGGATAGTCTTGGTGTCAAATAGGATCTCACTTGGTTTAAAGTATTTATTTTTTGCTATATATCTATATATTTATATACATGATATATATATATCACATTCTTTTGAAGGCACCAGATATGTGTTTTATTTTTCCTATTTCCTGCAAATATGCGGCGATGGAATTGGCTGTGCTTCGTTTCTCTCTTGAGAGACATGTCGCTCAGAGTGGGGGCATACATCACGGCGATGCGCATTATAAATCTTGATGCGTGCAAAGCCCGTGGTTTTGGCGGGGACAGGCTGTTCCTGTTAAATAGTTCTAGGTTGATAAATGTGGGAACTCCCCAAGCTGACTGCGTTTGCATGCCGCTGCTTGGCATTGTAGTTCAATCGTGTGATGAAGATGATGCCGTCCTTAGGATTTGATGCACACGCATTTATTTGCCTCTGCACGTCTGCCCGTCGTGTGTGCCCACAGCTGCTCGATCTGTTTCTCGAGTGGGACTGGGCCGAGTTCCTGGCTGACTATGGCAAGCCGCACGCTCGCTACCTCCGCGTGGATGCTGGCACCGCGCTCACGCTGCTGGAGAGGTGGGGAGGGGGGCTCTCTGCTTCGTATGCCGCACGCGCCCACCAACACCAGCCCCCCCCCCCCACTCTTTGAACTTGAACCACAACTGTATCCTAAGTCTGTCACTGACACCCTAGTCATAACGATGCCATCAGTGTTGAGCCACAACCCATAACATACACCGGAACCTTTCAACCTTAGTAGTATATATTTTTTCTGTCAATCCACTTCTAGATGAAGGCCTCCCCACATCGTGTTTTGGAGGTTTTCGCTAGGCCATGTGTGTTGGAGAAGGGATAGTGGCCCAAAACGACTTCAGGTATCACTCACCTCTGATGTTAGCCATGGGCCGGAATCAAACCTAGGTTGCAGTGTTCATAGAGCGGTGTGTAAACCACCACACCCCCCTGATTATACACGTCATTATTTTGACGATAACATTACCACCTCCGATTTGCACGGTTGGCTACGTACAGTACGAAAGAAGTTCAACATACACACAATAATTATAATCCCAACCTTAATGATATCCATGAATATGCCCTATATCTTATGTATACTACAGGGAGAATTGTAGAGTAATTATCACATAAGCGCACTATTCTACAATCTTGGACTTGAGTCCCGAGCCAGTATGGCTATCCGAGGACTCAAGTCGACGATGTGCAGCTTGGGTGGAATCTGGAGTCATGTCTGGTCACAGCGCTTGCGGCGGTTTCCCTCCCCTCGCGGTGCGTCGACGGAGTTGCGCGGAGCGGAGGGGACGCGGAGCGAGGGGACGCGGAGCGGAGGGGAGGCGGCTGTGAGAGACGGCCGCCTCCCGCTGCCATGTGCCTTGCGTAGGGCTCAGCGTGGCCGCCCGAGTTGAAGGATCGCGTCGAAGTTGCATTGCAGAACGGTGCCATGTCGAGGAGAGGGGAGGCGGAACGCGAGAGACCCATTTGTCCCCGAGGTTTCTCGGCCGCGAAGCGAATTACGGCGCCTTAGCGACGGACTTGTGTGAGCGAGGGACGGGACGAAGCCGGTCGGGTTACACGCGCAACCATCGGAAATGTATATTTGGATCTTAAGTTACGCCGGTCAACTGAGGTTTTCGTGGGTCCCCGGTGCAGTAATGTCACGCAATGGGTAATAAATGCGGTCAAGTGTAGTGTCAGCCACACCATTAATTAAGCATATGACCACAACCTTTATCATAAACACAGTGATGTTCATATTCCTAGTTGAAATACAATTCCCGTCCCCAAACTAGCCATCGTGAGCCATAGACATAGCCACAACATCGGCTTGGCTCTTACGTTACGTCGTTCAACTTGGACTTATGCAGCCAGGTGTAGTGTTCGTCACACCACCCGTGCGTAAACAATTCCAGCGTTACAGTCTTAAGGTGCTTGTTTTGTATGGCCATATTTGTTTCGTTTAGACCTATAGTATATATATGTGTGTGTATCAGGGATGTCTTCCCGATTTTCTGATGAATCTGAAAAAACTGAAAATCCATCCAAGACATGACATTTCAGATGAATTGAATACATTTTTGTTGTGACGTCACACCCATGTGTATCCCACAAAAGTGGCATCACGTGACGCCGATTTGATGAAACTTGATGTCACTTTTGCTTCAATTATTTCCTTCCAAATTATTGTTTTATTGATGGAACGTTATGTAAAATAAAATGCGTATTCAAAATAAATTAGTTAATGTTTAAAATGATTACAATTATAACTATTAGTGCATCAGCAATGTCAGTTATAACAATAAACATCTTAAACCGTGGCTACGTAAAATAAAATCCGAAATTAAGTCTTAACATTTGAGAGTGACATTTCTGAAAAAATGGAGCAGAAAACCATCTTGAATGGCCACGTGTACAAGGGTTGCAACACTATACATTTTCACAATTCGATATCACATCTCACAATTTAATGATTACCGCAATATCACTTTCCCATAACTGTGTATTTTGCATTTGTATTGTTTTATTTTTGTGCCTTACCGTAAGAATAAATACAAAATGAGCCTGCCGTTAGTGTTCCAAACATGACAACTTTACAATCTGTAATGCTGATAATGCACATGCTGTCAGTTACATGTACTGGGGAACTGATGACATGTAATTCCCTTTCCGTAAATTACTCCGAAAAAACATTTAGCTAAATCACTGATTTAATAGATAAGTGATTTATTTGTAACTTTCATTTAGTTTGTTATTTCGTAGATATTTTTTCAGGAAATAGAATGTTTAGAAAAAGAAAACAAGCATCAATAATCAAGATATGTGCTGGGCATCCCCTAGGTCGGCTCTGCCTTAAATTAGTATTTCGTGCGGTGTGTAAACATCACCACTGGGGATACAAAGGCGACTGGGCATGGGGCTCACCACCCACCCCCTTGTGTGCTGTACCGGCCTTCATAGGTGCTCGCTAACAGCACTTGCTCCAACAGCCTGTTAAGGCTATACAGTTATCTTTGTCTTTGTGGCACGTATAAACAGGAGTTTTTACAAAGTAGGGCCTTTGCCCAAAATATCACCTGTTTTACATATATTTCATTTTTATTTTAAGGCAGTGATACTGACGCATGTGTTGGGTTGTTGTCAATTGTGTGTGTTCACCACTGCCACCGTAGCGTCACCAAGTAGTGTGTCTTTGGTGGGTGCAGGATGAGGCATGGCCGTCCCAGGCAGGCCGGTGTGAGCCAGGTGCGCGGTGCAGAGCGAGATGAGGCGGCCCTCTACCACAGCATCCTGCAGCAGCTCCGGGTCGTCGCTGCAGGTCTCAGGACCACAGGTCTCACTGCCACATGTTTCACTGCCACAGGTCTCACTGCCACAGGTCTCACTGCCACAGGTCTCACGACCACAGGTATCACTGCCACAGGTCTCAGGACCACAGGTCTCACTGCCACAGGTCTCACTGCCACAGGTCTCACTGCCACAGGTCTCACTGCCACAGGTCTCACGACCACAGGTCTCACTGCCACAGGTCTCAGGACCACAGGTCTCACTGCCACAGGTCTCACTGCCACAGGTCTCACTGCCACAGGTCTCACTGCCACAGGTCTCACGACCACAGGTCTCACTGCCACAGGTTTCACTGCCACAGGTCTCACGACCACAGGTCTCACTGCCACAGGTCTCACGACCACAGGTTTCACTGCCACAGGTCTCAGGACCACAGGTCTCACTGCCACAGGTCTCACGACCACAGGTTTCACTGCCACAGGTCTCACGACCACAGGTTTCACTGCCACAGGTCTCACGACCACAGGTCTCACTGCCACAGGTCTCAGGACCACAGGTCTCACTGCCACAGGTCTCACTGCCACAGGTCTCACTGCCACAGGTCTCACGACCACAGGTCTCACTGCCACAGGTCTCAGGACCACAGGTCTCACTGCCACAGGTCTCACTGCCACAGGTCTCACGCCATATTGGTGATGCACCTCGACGATTGTTTATCTAATTTCCTGCAAACCGAGTTATATTTTGTCCACGTACCGAAGCAGTCTGAATTGGTATTTGAACATGGCCCTCACCTCCCTCGTGCTGAATTTCCACCTAACATCAGTACCCAGTGTGTGAGCGATGGGCGTCGATGAATTGTCGCGTACGTGGGTGAGAACGAATTGCGTGTTTCGATTCAAGCGAGATGCAACCCCAAAGTAACAAATCGTTCTTGTAGACGGACGGCGCGTTTCTGAAGCTTGTTAATGAGGCCAAGACCAAAGTCACGGGCACTCACCCATGTCGCTGTTTCGATGAGAGGAGGAGTGACGTCGCTGCAATGCAACGACACGCTCGGCCACTCCTCGTGCGTGCTACACGGAGCCGAGTTACACGCCTGCAACAACTGTTTGTGCTTTGTGTTGCTTTTGCTAATGCTGTCTGTTGCACAAGAGATGAAACTGAATCGTCGACTTAACCCGACACCGCTCGCAGTTTAGTTCGGAGCCTGTGACCCGAGTGGTTCATGTAACCCCCCCCTCGTTTCCCACGTGGTGCGTGTGGCCCCCCGTTCCCCACGTGGTGCACGTGGCCCCCCGTTCCCCACGTGGTGCGTGTGGCCCCCCGTTCCCCACGTGGTGCGTGTGGCCCCCCGTGTCCCACGTGGTGCGTGTGGCCCCCCGTTCCCCACGTGGTGCGTGTGGCCCCCCGTTTCCCACGTGGTGCGTGTGGCCCCCCGTTCCCCACGTGGTGCGTGTGGCCCCCCGTGTCCCACGTGGTGCGTGTGGCTCCCCGTTTCCCACGTGGTGCGTGTGGACCTGTTGCCCACGTGGTGCGCGTGGCCCTCTGTTTCCCCAGGGCGCGTGGGGGAGGCTCTCTCGCGACGCCCTGCAGGGTTCTCTTCGCCAGCCGCCCGGCCGGCCCCTGGCCTCGTTGTGAAGTAGCCGATGGGCACGGTGGGGGAGCGTCACCTCGGTAAGACCGCCTTTCCACCAACCACTGCACGCCACAGCAATAACAATAATTATTATTATACCCGAAATTGTGAGGATTTACAGCTCGTTGTCAATCCACTGTTGGATGAAGGCCTCGGCCTGTGGGGTGTCCAGGACCAGTTCTGATTTTGCCGTCACTGACGTTAGCCCTGGCTGAGAGTTGAACTCGTGTCACCGGGTTAATAGCGCAGTTCGCTAATTGCTACGCCACCACTGATGCCCTTATATCCACAGTGTATGGAGTTAAACGAAAGCAAAAGTCGGAGTGTGCGCGCTCATTATCATTGAGCAGTGCTCATCTTTATCATTGGTCCCGAGCCAGAGGTAGACATTATACATCTTTATCATTGGTCCCGAGCCAGAGGTAGACATTATACATCTTTATCATTGGTCCCGAGCCAGAGGTAGACATTATACATCTTTAGGGAGGGATTCGTCTCTCCTTGGACAATCACGATTGGCTAAGGGAGTTTATCTTGAAAAAAAAATTAATTACCTAAAAAAACCCATCAAAGTCTCACACGAATATAAACTAATGCACAGTTGGAGTGGTGGGGCAATGATTCAGTGGCGAGTAATATCTCAACCACGCATAGCCATCCCCTTGTTTACCAAACTGGAATGACCAGTGCGGTGAAATATGGTGAAACAAAACATCGCGGCCGACACTGCGTGGATCGGTCCTCACCCCGCAGTGGATTGATGCGTTGGCTGTACGTGCCCACGGCTGTGTGTCGAGGTGAACAGGCGAAGTTTGATTTGCTCACCACTGCCCCTGTCTCTGTGTGTGTGTGTGCTGCAGCGACCTATGGTGCGTGTACAGCTGCGCTGGCTTCTGTGACTGCAGTGCGAAATGAAGCTCCGGGAAAATACGACGAGTTTCGTGGCCGGCCCAGCCCGCGCGACGTCACCCAATCTTCTCACGATCCCTTCTCTCACGACTTGAATCACGTTTTGTCTCAATCAACTCCTATATCGAGTGGACAGAAAATATAAAATCCCCACCTAATCCCTGGCCTCGCCAGTTTTCTACTCATGCCTCGTGTTGAAACTGAAATCCCTGAACCATTGTTGTAATGTGCCAATGTGTTGCAACGCTCGATGTATACGTATCTCCACGACTACTGCCCATGATTGACCTGTCGCAGTCTCTTCCCTCTGTGGTTCCATGTTGAGTTCTGCTGCAATTCCAACTGCTGTTGTTGGCTTGAGGACATGCGGCCTCCAATGATCCATTGTCTTAAGAGGATCTCACCAACCGGACCCCAATATTAGTCGACCACTTCACTTTGGGCCTCAATTGTCGTTCACTTCCTTTCGTATCTCCATCGTCATAGCACCCCAGCCTGTCGCCAGACGTTGCGATGCAGAGGTAGGCAAGGAGATGAAGGTATGGTGGGTCACTTTGGTAACGGAGAGAGGGATTAACAACGAGAAGCTCACAGCTCGGAAAGACGTGGACATAATGAGCCGAGATTGGAGCGATCTAATCATCAATTGTATTAATGTGTGACTGCTTTTTCATTACCATCAGCGATGTATCGGAGAGTCTGTTTAAAAACAAAGGTAATGGGTTACTATGTTTGTCTATGTTAGTTGAATTGTAATGGGAATAAGTCAAATGTGATGTGTTTAACTTTTAAAGGGCATAATTTTTAGTAAAAAGGTGCAGTTGCGGCATGAATGTCATGTTTGTCATGTTTGGTTACAGCTGCACGGCGCGATTGTCGTTCTTTTGAGGCGGTAACAAACAGCAACTTCTGGTTTGAGCAACAAGGCGGCAAGACGCGGTATTGCCTTCTTCCGGTTCTGTTTTAGATCGTCTCGACCATCTGAAGGGGAGGCAAAATGTTGGCCGGCTGAAATAACAGCGCCTTCTGTGTGTGTGTTTAACTAGATTGGACGTAATGCCGTGTATGTGTGTGTTTAACTAGATGGGACGTAATGGTTTTTTGGGAGTTTGTGTTTTTATTGCTGCAACGTTTTAACATTTCGTTGGCCGAATGACGATTGTGCGATGAATGTTGCGCGTTATTTGTGTCTGTGAATGATTTTCTGGACATTCCGTTTTTTAACAGTGATGGTGCTGAGTGGGGTAGCCGAAAGAGTGCATTCCGTCTCGCTTCAACTCCGAATACAGTGGTGGCCCGTGAAACTAAAATAAATCTCACTCGCCTGGACATCCATCCTACTCATATGGTTAATAGTCCCCTGAATTGTCCATTGCCTTGGTTGTCTTATGGGATCTGTATGAACAATGCATCGTCGTGTGATAAGAACAATGGTTTTGCCATTTTTCAACTCCGTTCAGTTTTCCTTTTTGCAACAATGAATGAGGCAGCATTCCACGGTTGAGATAAAATTTTGCGTAAACATTCAGTAAATGTAAACTTGTATTTTTATCCTACAACTGGTGCTGCTTTTATGATGTCCACAGATGTTTGCATCTGGCCTGGGAGCTTTGCCTTTAAGTGCTGTGAAGGGCGGTGGTTACTTTTTGAATTGTGCCATCTGGAGCCTCCTAATTTGAACAATAGATATTGTCTGGGGCGTTGTATATGATTTCTATTGCTTTGGAGATCTGCATACAATGCCTCCACGAGTTTTCTATCATACATTGTGTTCCAGCTTGCTGTCTGAGAGGTACTCTCTGCAATTTCCTTTTGGCAGCATATGTGTATTTGAGTTTAACATGCTTTTAGTTATTTTACCAATTAATCAGTTTTCACCAGCATAAGGATAACATTGGAATACCATGGAAAGTGCATTAGGCACATGATGATTGGACAAACTTAAATGCTAAGCCACAGGGCTGCACATACTTATTTAAAAATATGATTATGACATTAATTAATACTATATTAAATATACCTGTATTTTTTAAACGTTCATTTAATTTATCTGTGGTGATGCCACTTGTGATTTGATGTGTACAAACGTGGAAACATGACCACAAAAACAGCGGGGTCTCTTGTGAGTGTCTTGTGTGTGTCTTGTGGGTCTCTTGTGAGTTTCTTGTGTGTGTCTTGTACGTGTCTTGTGAGTTTCTTGTGTATGTATTGTTTGTGTCTTGTGGGTCTCTTGTGGGTCTCGTGTTCATCGTTGATGGTGTCCTCAGCACCTTCTTAATTCCGACACCAGCAGTTCTGCGTGTACGGGCCACCTGCAGCCTGCCCAGGGCAGACTCCGCACACGCGCGCGCTGCGTCGTGGATTCCCTTGGGCAGAGGATTGCCTTCGCTTGGAGAGCCGTGCGGGCGCCCTCTGTTGGAGTGTGTCTGTGTCAAGCAGCCTCAGTCGTAGGCAAGGTCCTTCCTCGGTGAGGGCCATTGAGTGTGGCCTTTTGAAGTGTAAACTGCGGCAGAACGTGAATGTCGCGCTTGTAAGCAGGGTTTGTAATTGGTAGCATTTGTTATTACTCATACATGCCTCCTATCCACTGCCAAGCTCGAGCTTGTAGAGGACACGAGGAAGAGAGCTAAATAATCATGTGCCGATTCGTATAATCGCTTACATTGTAATAGGCTATAGCAGAAATTAACATTTTACAGCTTAACTAAACTCCGTATAGTTAGGCATTCCTTTAATGTAACAAAAAAGTACGACTCTTATACATCCACTGATGATACCACTGGCTGGGATGCCAACTCAGATCGCCGGGTATCAAAACAACTCCTCCCATAGCACACTGACTGCGCTACGACCCTGGCGATCTGAGTTCGATACTCAACCCACAACTAACGACAATGGCGATATCTGACACGGGCTATCCGCCCCCTCTCCCTTACTGACCATGGTGCTGAAATGAGGTCAAACAACCCCGTGGCTGACACGCAATAGGGGTATGCCTTCATCCAGCAGTGGAACTACACAAGGCTGAGAAGGTAACGTGATTTTGTTTATCTCTCTCTAACTCACACCTCCGCTAACGAGCGCGACACTCACAACTGCACCGGTCTCTCCCAACTTGCCTTTGTCCTCTTCACGCCATGACTGACGCCTCCTCCACCGCCTGCGATGCAGCGTGCGTCTGCAGGGCTCGCCTCGCTCTGGCACGGGCAAAGTTGACGCCGCCCGCAAGGTCCCTGGCACGGCACTTGGACTCCGTGTAACGTCTGTGGGTTACTCGCAACATCGTAGAGCTCCCGCGTGACCTCGGTGGATAAGCACTATCTCAAGGAGAGGACGACATTTTAGTGATGACACGGATCGACCGCGGATCAACTCCACCCCTCCCCGTACAAAACCAACCACGCCGTGCCGTTCAGTGGCCTATCCCCCCCCCCAACGCCCCCCCACCCCTCTCCATCGGTGGCGCATGCGCAGTTGTGCTGACAGTCGGACAAAGAAATCGCATCCGTAATGATGGCTCGTGTTCTTGTTGTTAGATCGCGTGAATAGAAATGTGTCGTTAAACCCGCCACCACCCGACACAGCAAATTAGTAAGGTTTGTCACGTAAACAGAACGTGCTAATTCGTTACTAGTTCAGCACACATACATACGGACACGAAGCCACGCAGAGAGACACACGCATGCGTGTTCCGCTTTCACGCGAGTAGGAGCCTCCTATAACGCGGGCGTTATTCGCGTTTCCCGACGCCCGCGTTATAGCATCGGGACTTTAAATAATCGCCCCGCTAAACATGGGCCGCATATTTTGTAGAGAGGGTCGAGATGCGTTTGTGTTATTATGCTCTGTGGCTTGAACGGTTGAACGGTTGTTCTCCTGACCAGGAGGTCGATGATTGACCTCAGGTGTGGGTTTGGTTGACCTTCGTTGTGGCGTTCCACGTTAGAACAAAGATGGGGCCGTGAGGAGGCACTGCGATCTGCAACCCCACACGCGAACTTCAACATCGAGACGGCGTGGACAGCAAATTCGTGGGATTCAAGCAACATGCCCAAAACAGCTCATCAGCGAGGCCACCACCACACAACCCGGCTTCCACAACACGCAGCTCATCAGCGAGCCCACCACCACGAAACCCGACAGCTTCCACGGCACACAGCTCATCAGCGAGGCCACCACCACACTACCCGGCTTCCACGACACGCAGCTCATCAGCGAGCCCACCACCACCACACTACCCGGCTTCCACGACACACAGCTCATCAGCGAGCCCACCACCACACTGCCCGGCTTCCACGATGCACAGCTGATCAGCGAGGCCACCACCACACTGCCCGGCTTCAACGACACGCAGCTCATCAGCGAGCCCACCACCACCACGAAACCCGGCTTCCACGATGCACAGCTGATCAGCGAGGCCACCACCACACTGCCCGGCTTCCACGACACACAGCTCATCAGCGAGCCCACCACCACCACAGTGCCCGGCTTCCACGACACACAGCTTATCAGCGAGCCCACCACCACCACGAAACCCGGCTTCCACGATGCACAGCTGATCAGCGAGCCCACCACGACCACACTGCCCGGCTTCCACAACACACAGCTCATCAGCGAGCCCACCACCACCACAGTGCCCGGCTTCCACGACACACAGCTTATCAGCGAGCCTACCACCACCACGAAACCCGGCTTCCACGATGCACAGCTGATCAGCGAGGCCACCACCACACTGCCCGGCTTCCACGACACGCAGCTCATCAGCGAGCCCACCACCACCACAGTGCCCGGCTTCCACGACACACAGCTTATCAGCGAGCCCACCACCACCACGAAACCCGGCTTCCACGATGCACAGCTGATCAGCGAGGCCACCACCACACTGCCCGGCTTCCACGACACACAGCTCATCAGCGAGCCCACCACCACCACAGTGCCCGGCTTCCACGACACACAGCTTATCAGCGAGCCCACCACCACCACGAAACCCGGCTTCCACGATGCACAGCTCATCAGCGAGCCCACCACCACCACACTGCCCGGCTTCCACAACATACAGCTCATCAGCGAGCCCACCACGACCACACTGCCCAGCTTCCACAACATACAGCTTGTCAGCGAGCCCACCACCACACTACCCGGCTTCCACGACACGCAGCTCATCAGCGAGCCCACCACCACACTACCCAGCTTTCATCTTCCATGGAAGAAATGGGCAACGCGTAACCAGATCCGCACAAACCATGGAAGATGCGGACAACCTTCTGCACAGGTGGAGCATCAACGACTCTCTCCTGTGTGCGACCGTGGTTGTGAACGCAGTGGACCATACATCAATTTCACATGCCCCAAATATACATTTGAAGGCGGTGCATCTGCAAACGAACCAATAAATGTGACCTTTAAATCTGAAATGCATTTCATTTCCAGAAATAACATTCTTCGAATAGTAAACAGCACTAACATTGAGCATTCTCTCACAATTCTCTATGGCGAGGTCATGGACAATCAATGAAGCACCACAAAGATGATGATAAGAGCCCAGAGGGCTGCCGCCAAGGATAGTGACAGGTGATAGTCTCAGCCCAGTCACTCATCACTGCAAAACAAATCCATGATCGAGGTTTTGTTTGGGTTCGATCGCCACCCGCCACCACCCCACACAGGCAATGAGTAAGGTCTGTCACGTCAACAAAACATGCCGACAAACCTGAGGTGACAAACATTTCTAATTGGCTGTGTCGGGTGGTGGCGGGTTTAACGACACATTTACATTTTCCGTGATCAAACACCCAAACAACCTCTATTATGGATAATATTGGTCGCGAAAGGCTACTTACGTGTTAAACTGCAAAACAAATGTAATTGTTTTAACTTTTTGTTCAACTTTTTCTAGAATTGGGGGATAAAAGAAGAACAAAAATGAATGCACAAGCCTCTAATAAAGTACAAAGAGTGGCTTGGAGTGCACCGCAAGATTTATGGAATTGACTTTAGAAGTACTTCTACGGTGCCAGCTCCCAGGGCTGTTGCCTTGAGGTGAAGCGTGAATTCCAGAACAAGTTTTTGTCTTCGTGACTACCACGATACAATTGCCACGTGTGTGTATATATGTGTGTGTTTATGTATAATATATATTTCGGGAGAGCGGTGGGGGCAGTCTGCAGCGCGTTGCTCCATGAACGAATCCGACGACCTTCACAAGAATCCCGGGAACACGTTTTTTTTTACATCGTTGGCGAGCGATATCCAGCGGATTGTAGTGCCACGTGCAGCTTTAGAGGCACGTTAGCCCCGGTGACAACCGACTGAGGATATCCGATACAAGTAAGTGGCACATCGACATGCGCGGCAACGTACGATGGATGCGTTGAGAGTCAAACCGTTAAGTGAATGCGATCCATTCGCATCCACAGACAGAGATAACTTGAGGCTAAATATTCGCTCCTTGTTTGTTAAAAAAAAAAACATCAAGCGCAGAATAGGTGCAACGATGTTATTCATCGTAGCGAAAATTGGTAACCAAAACGAAATTATGCTTTGAAGGCTGGGATGGAGCAGTCGCGATGGGGCTCCAGCACTGTGCTAGGAGACCCAGAAGCCAGAGTTCGATCCCCAGCCGCGGATAACACCACTGGCAAGTTGTATCTCAATGGGTTCTGGGCACTCCTTCACAACCCGAACTGACCAGAGTGGTGAAGTATGGTCAAACAACCTTCACGGCCAAAGCGGCATGGGTAAGCGTATCAACCTGCAGTGGATTGACAATGCGCTAAACAAAACATTCCATTCTTCAAAATGTACCGCTATTCCTTTGCGTTTATGTTTGTAAGTGCATTTTTGCTTAACCAGGTGAGTAGTCTAAAGACAAGTCTTGTGTGATTAGCAAGCGTGACCTGGGGCATTCATCTGCCAGTGTTGAGCGACGGCTGCTGTGTAGAATCCCAATTGAGTAATGCGCGGTTAATGTGGCACGTGACGCACGGCACACAGCGGCCTCCTCCTCTTGAGAATGACGCCCAGGGGGGTCTTTAACGTCAAAATGTAGACGGCGTTTTCATTAT